TCCTAATTTGAAATAAGCTAGATAGATCATTACTTCAAGATTTGTCTAAGGTTTTTGACAATTTGTTGTGGACACAAAAGTTCATGAAACAAAAAATTGGATGAGTTCTACATCTCCTGACATGATATCAAAAGTCATATATTAACTAATTACGTGACCTTTCCACATCTATTTTGGCAGGAAAGAGTAGAAAACATACTACTGTGACCACCTCTACTTTGCTGATAAAAAAAAAAAAAAAAAAAAATCTGATTTTGTTAACTCCTCTTAGTATCTTAAACAAGCTCTAACCATGATCAATTCTCATCCGTAATCTCAACCAAAACTTGCAAATCGCTAAGCGCAAAGGGTTTGTACGGTCGCTACGCATGCATTATGTTATGTAAGAAAATGTGAGACTTGCTAGAAGATTAAAGAATGTACGAGTTTATTCAGATAATCGGCGTATTGGGAAAAAGCGTCCTTCATTGAGGAAGAAGATGATGACTCCGTGCTAACTGTCCTAGCCCTCTTCGGCGATGGCGCCGCACCTGCAAGGGTTTGGGAGTAAAACAAAGGAATTCCTTTCTATAGATTGAAGTAGAATAACAGAGAGAAGATATGCAATTACTTGGATGGAAGCGGAGGCTGTGGGGCTTAAATTTAGAGGCCATATATTCCACTGCCACCGAAATCTTATGGAAAGCTAAGAAGCAGAACATCACCTATTGTAGTCTTCTGAATTTCAGGACGGAAAATGGAACTCAAATTTGGGACTCGTAATGGTTCGGTTTGATTGAACCGAAGCAAAATTTTTTAGATTATTAATATATTTGGTTTGATAGGAATAGAGCCGATGGAAAGAATTATTTATTTAATTAAATTATAATAGTTTTAAATATTATTTTGTAATTAATCAAAAAATTCCCACTCTCTTATTTCCTTCAAACTATATATTTTTAATGCTTAATAACTTCGTTTGAAAATATTCTTCTAATTAATTAAACTATAATAGTATTAAAATTATTATGTAATTAATCAAAAAATTCCTACTCTCTTATTTCCTTCAAACTATATATTTTTAATGCTTAATAACTTCGTTTGAAAATGTTCTCATTGTATCTATGTAGGTTTTTCATACTTTTATTATCTAAAAAATATATATGATGTAAATTAAAATAAATAAAAATATATAAAACATTAATTAAAGGTCCGTTTAATATAGTAATATGAGATAGCAATTAACACTTTTACTCAAATTATTGTTAGATAAGTTTAGACATTTGATAAATTTATTGATTTCTAAATTGTTATAAATTAGGTATTTGATTAAATTTTTTATTTAATGACTTGGAATTAGAGTTTATTAGGTTGGAGAAGAGTATAGTAAGTTTCTCTATTTGAAAAGGAAGATGATATGTGCACACCCGGGTCAACACCCGGGTGTGCACACTCCCCTTTGAGAAAAAAAAATGCCCATCACCCACCCGATCCAATTTTTTTTTTATATGGGGGTGCATACCTGGGTGTTGGATCCGGGTGTGCACCAATCAGAGTCCATTTGAAAAACAAAAATTCGAAGAGATGGAAAGGAAGGAGCTTTCCCTTATTTATTATTATTATTATTAAATAACAAGGAAAGAGAATGAGAAGAAAGTGAAGGGAAATGGAAAGATATTGTCTCCCCTCCCCTCTTTTTCTCTAGCGTTTCCCTCAAATTGCATTAGGGTTTATATTGATAATGAATTGAAAAAACTACTTAAGATAACTTTTTACACTAAACCATTAGTATATGACAATATTGTAATTTTATTAACAAGTTTATTGATTCTAATTATTCAATTTTTCATCATGGTTTATAATTACTAATTATTTATTTGGTCTCAACTCAACTTCTTTTTTTTTTTTAGTTTAATAAAATTTTTGGGAAACATACAAAGTTACACCAAACTTTGATGCTAGCACAAGAGGAAAACATAGAATTAGCAACAATATATAGTGGGAAAGTGACAGTTATCAATCCCAAAGAAGAAAGAAGGGATATAAAATACTAGGATATAACAAAGTTAAGTTATCTATAAAAGAAGAATATATATGGTACAAGAATATGATTGGATGTCATAGTAGTTAAGAGAATAAAAAAAAAAAAAAAAACCCAATTAATGGAACAATGTTTCTAACAGAACAAATAAAGTCAATCTATGAGTGTCTTGAGGAAGAAACAAGAAAAATAAAAGAACCAATATAGTCCATCAAAATCTCTAGAAATATTTTATACATAAAACTTAAGTTTAAGTTCAATGAATATCACGCATATACTATAAATGCTTTAGTAGACATAGGAGTTGCATATACATTAACACAACCAAATGTTCTTCTTGAAGAACAATTAAGTCATTGTCCATACAAAATGACTTCTAATAGCAAACATACATATGGAAGAACTAAACTAGGAATGTCCCAGTTACTAGAGTTAGATGGACACATGGTACTAGGAAATAACATCTTATAAAAATGTGTCTTCCTTTTGTTCAACACGTAGATTATATCCAATTAGGAACTCCAATAGTTAGTATAAAATATTAAAAGAAGTTGATTGTTAGAGAAAAAAATTATAGGTGGAATCTCCCAGCACACGGAGGAAAATTAACATATCAGGCAAAAGGAAGGAAATTCACAGCTATTACCAAAGTCAAAGCATTGTTGAACATGGTAAAAAACACTCAAAGAAAGTGAGTATTTAGGATGGAAAACATTTACAACAACTAAAAGGATAATAATTAAGAAGAAGATAAAGGTAGAATTCCTAAAACACTATGTGACAACCCACAAATTCCAAGATGACATTTGCAACTTATCTTTGGAAATGACAAATAACTGCTAACAATATAGGGAAAAGTATCTAGAGTTGAAAAAAGCTACACAAGCAGTAGAGGCAAAGGGACAAACAATAGACAATTAAAGAAGAAATAGCTACTATATTGGAAGAAGGAGAATCATCAACGTTAAAGACCATGGAAGAAACCAATGATGAAGAAAATATCCAAGAAGACAACATTTATGATGATAATTACTACTGGGAAAGCGTAACAGATGAATAATGACACAACATAGAAAACATGATGAAAGAATAAGATAAAAGCTACATCAAGAGGAGGAATCTTATCTTGAAGAGATGTCAATCATATAATTCTACTACTCTTATTTGTTATTTAAGAATGTTGAAGTCAGGATTTGAAATCTAAATGATTGTACTAGAGTCTTATCCCTTAGTAAAATGAGTGTGAAAATCGAAAGTGAAATCTACCCATTCTGTTTATAAAAGGGCATAGACTGCGTCTTGTAAAAGGAGACGTAGGAAGAGAGTCTACCTAGGAATGAGGTTTGAGAGTGCAAGAATCTTGAGTCTGTAAAGATTTCATGTGTGTGCTACCTATCTTCATATATATGGAATAGTCTTGTCTTTTGTTCTATGAACCCTCTTTCAGAATCATTTGAAGTGATTGTCTCTTAAAACCTTTAAAAATTATCCAACCTAACACTCTGTGTTTGAATCATGTTACGCTATTTGTTAACAATTGAAAGTCGTGAAAAAGGTGTGCTGGCATTAGGCTGGTCTAGTGAGGCACAATAAACCAAGTTAGTGATCAAAAGGAAAGCATTAAGCAACTAACAAAGCGCAGTGGGCTTGAGGTATAGGTAAAAACCATATTTAGAGAGCTATTGCATAAAACCTCAATAGTGTATGTAAGGTTAAAAGTATAATAGAACTTGAGGGACAAGTTAAAATAAGAAATAGAGGATTAGAAAATATAGATAAAAAATTAGAAGACTTAGTTGTCGTTAAGGCTAGCTATTGTCAATACTCACCCTAGGTTGCACATTGAGCAAGGTACTTTAGTTGATGAAAAAGAAAATTTAGAAATTGAATTAGTTCAGTTAGAAGTAGAATTAGAAATATCTTCTATAGCATAAATTTATTAACTCTAACATCATAAAAATTAGCAAGTACGGTTAATGGTTTAGAATTAAGTAAATAACATAAGATTTAACAAACAAATTGCTTCTTTAAAAAGACTAAGATTGAGAAGCCAACAAAAGCGAAGAAATGGGACCAATACGAGAATAACAAAAATCTAGAAGAAGTAATATTCAAAATAGAATTTATAAATGAAATGATAAAGTTAATAGAAGCAACAACAATTAAAGCTAAAGAAACAAAGAATTATTGGAGAATGTAGAAATTTAGTGTTTTATTAATCCTTGTTCGCGTAATTAAATATTTAATCTACTATCTTCAATGCATGAATTTATTCATGACTATGCAATTGAAGTTTATACTATTCAATGTGAAAGTTCAATGTGAAAGAAATGGAATAAAATAGCACGACTACTAGTAAAAATTCGTGATACAGAGGATGGTGGTGATTTTCATTTACCAAGACATATCTAAAAACGATAGGGATTTATTTATACCTAAATATTATACATTACACTTATATAAAATCTCAATTATTTATCTTTTCAATCTTAGTGGTTGAGATTTGTTCACATTTGTTAAAAATAATTATCTTCTTTTATATAAAAAGTCATGATAAATTTTCATCATTAAAAATGGAGAAATAAATAATTAAAATTTTATATAAATATAGTGTGTAAAAGTTTTATGTTAATGGATCCTTCCTCATCTAAAAATTAAGATTTGCAATAGAAGATTCGGAAGGATATTTAGAAAGTGGAAAATGATTTAAAGATAACTTTTTTATATAACTTTATGTATCATTTATTGATTGACTCATTTTACTTTATTGGAACGTATGATATTATATATCTTAATTTATTTAATGACATATGAAAATTATATATAAAAGTTGTACAAAAAAAATGTATATATATATATATCATTACCCTTTAAAAGGAATTAGGGAAGCCATGGAGCATTTATCTCTATTAGCAATTGAAAGCAGCACAAATAGGTGTGTATTTAGTTGCCAAAATAGTATAAAGATGTGTGCTATATATTACATAGTTGGCATTAGAGCCCATGGTAAACATTGGGACTAAATTATAATATTTAGAGAACTTTAGGAATCTTGTATAAAACAACAAAATTCCAAAGAAATGAAAAAGTAACGATTAAAACCAAAAAGTTTGGTCAAAGGTTAATGCCCTTACATTTAGCGAATTAAAAGGTGAAAAACCTTAACCTATAACTTGAATGGCTAAAAGTCTTAAAAACATTAAGTTTGAGGGCTTCCAAGAGAATTAAGATGATGTTTTAAACCGTCCGCCATGCAAAATACATACCCAATCCACAATATACTTCTGTCCTCCATCTTGATTTGTTTTTTCTGTGAGAGACCAAAAAACTCTTATTTTCATTTCTCCATATACCCCATCCATATTTACCCTCTCTCTTTTTTTTTTGGATCGGCCCATCCATATTTACTCGTCGGAAGCACTTCTGTTGCAGCTCTTTGAATTTGACAATTCATAAGAGGATAATGATAGCTGAAACAAAAATTTAAGATTAAAATTTGGAACTAAAAATACGGTATAATTTATACTATTTAAAATATTAAAACGTAAATTATATATTATTTAATAATTAATTTTTTATTTTTAAAATCATGATATTATATATATTAATTAATTTAATAATATAAAAAATATTACATTATTATTTTCAACTTTTCATTTTAAAATTTTGACATTTCTACCATTACTATTCTTTTTTTTATATATAAAAATAATAATTAGTTGGTTAATATTATTAAAAATTAACAAAAAATTTAATTCTCAAACCAGATGAACAGCTTACTTATCTCAATGAAGCGCACGATCATGCTTAGTAGAGTTTTATCATTACTATTCATAAAAACACAGTATTCGAGTTCAGAATGACGAGAGCTTTTAACCCATAGGTTTTGCCTATTCTAAACGGACAGCCATCAAACATTTTGTGCGTACGGATTTGTTTTCCCATGCTTTTCAGTATTTTAGTTTTTATTTTTTATTTTTTTTAATTATTTTAAAAATATATAAGATTTTAATTAAAATAATATTAAATATATTTTATATATTTTTAAAATATTAAAAATCTATACAAACTAACAGAGATAATTATAGATCAATACTCTTCGACTAAACTTACATTGCATAGAATAAGTATTGTTTACTAAGTGTTTTGCATAATGATTTTATAGGAGTAATATTTTTTTTTTAATTTTAAATTATATAATAAAAGTTTTTTTTTTATTTTTTTACCTTACTTCACTTACATATTATAAAATTTAAATTTAAAATTTTTTATTTTTAACATAAAAATTACTACTAAGTTCCTTTAATCATTAATACTTAATTTGATATTATTTCTTGCATTTTTAAAGTACACAAAGAAAAGCATTCCCCGCGGTTACAGTAACGACCACGCTTTTTTAAAGTAAAAAGTAAGTGAAATGCACATTAATCCGTAAATTGAGTTTCAAACTCAACTTTTATCGAACAAATACTAATCTAATATTGTATTTCTTTCTATCAAAAACAAATACATAAAGAAGAAAGATTTCTTTAAATAATAATTTATCAATAATTAAAATAAAATTTTATCAATTAATTATTATATTTTTATTTTTATTAAATTAAAATTTTAATTCATATTTTATATATTTGTAATAAATTTAATTAATATTTTATAAACTCTCGCAATAAGAAAAAAAAAAATTACCGTCGCAGCTTAACACTCCCAATTTAAACTACTTAAAGTTCGTTGCAATTCAGTAATTGAATGAAATACAGCATGTCCTCCTGTTAAGCAAATCTTCTTCAAAACAATGTCATAATTCTTCCCGAATAAAGAAAAAAAAAAAAAAGGATAAAGAAAGCATGAAAAAAATACGAGGATCCATCCTTCCTAATTCTACTTGACATCCCAAATAACTGGTAAACGATACTCCACAAGATTGATTTTTCTTCCATCACTCGCCAAACAAACTAGTAAATCCGCTAATTCAAGGTAAAAGCTTCACTTATCATGTGCATGCAAAGCCTTCAATAAATACAACCTGCTGAAGCTCTGCCCAGCAACTCTGCCAATGGTTTAAGGACAATTAAGGGTCAATTTTGGTTCTAAAACACAATATTTATGTTGCAGCTAACATATAACAAGAAAGTTGCATGCAGACAACATACCCGTTTATTTGGTTGCAATAGTTTGCAATCTGATTTGTTACGAGGAAGCTCTCCAGCCGTGATGGCTCCTGGATTGGTTTAAAAATGGGATTTGAGGGGTCCTCTTCAGGCAAGGGCTCTTCTCCCGCAGCTTTACGCGCCATGTTCTCTTGCCTAAATAATTCAGAGAGATAGAGTGAGTGAATTCCTTTTTCTCACCACAATTAGTCTGCTGCTATTTTCCCATGTACCTCAAGGGAAGGAATTGAGCGTGCTACTACTCACATCCAAGGTAAATCCCTATTTCTATAAGCTTAACAAAAGGTTTCCATCCCATTGAAAGCCTACAAACTAAATTTTTCTTTTTTTTTGTTGAATAACTATAGAAGGTATGAAGTCCTCAAGGATGAATGGGGAAGAAAAACCCCCAATCCACAATACTCAGGAACTAGATTTCACATACCAGCTTTAAAAGTTTCTAAGTTGATTCATTACTCAAACTCTGCCTATAGAAAACAGAAAAATTAGCCATGGGGAGCCGCAAGATAAAGAGATTCTAGCCAAAATGCCAGTCTAAAGCTAGAAATTGTCAATATTATACCTTCTCTTCTGAAGCCAAGCTTGTTGCTGACCTTGCTGTCGAGACAGACTCCGGTAATAAAATTGCAACTGAAACAGAGAATGCTTTATGTTATGATGAAATCCAACTGCAACCACATAATTTTAAAGAAAAGAGAAGACAAACCTTTTGCTGTTCTGCTGCAAGCTCATCCATACATTCACTTAAAAATTCCAAATTCCTCTCCATATATGGATTTGTTGATAATTGTAGACGGTCATAATCACACTGTAACAGAAAACGGAGTTTTCAATAAGAATAAGAATGTTAATGGCAGATGATACTTTTTTATGACCAAAAATTCTTCCACGTAATCCATATTTCACCTGAATGACTGGCATATCAGATTCAAGCTCTGTCATAAAAGCACTGATAAGTGCAGAGTTTGAGACTTTGATCTGTCAATTATAATAATTGGGATGAGTATGGAAAGATAACAACATTGATATTCTTTATTAAAAAGGAATGAAGCACAAATCATGCCATTTCAACTGAAACTTATTTCTCCATTTAACCAGCAAGAACTCAGACCGCCAAAATAAGAGTGAATTTATTTCCTTTCAAAACAATACATCAAATTCCAACAGTGCTACAAAAGAAATGTCATTATAATAGGCCACTGACAGCAGCCACAAGGACCCATAGAAGGCATGCCAGGACTGGGTGCTATTGACCAACTCTCTAACTGGGTACATGTCCAATCACGAGAAGGTTGCCTAGGGGATTGAAAAAGCCTTATCTAATCTTTTATTCTGTGAACACACCTACTTGCCTTTGCCCTCACTCATACATGCACATGCTCCCGTCTTTTGAGAATCATAGTCATTAACAAACCCATCTAGCAATCATGCTCCTGAATTTGTTTCAGAACTTAAACCAGCCTCGCAAACTAAATCTATCAAATACCACACCTATAACCTAACAAATGTATCATCAATTAGCCATTAAAATTTGACCTAAAACCTACAATTTCCTTATGAAGGTATCAATACCAGGAGCCATTCAAGTTACCAGAAAATTCCCTAGTTTCTTCTTGAATCCTTAGTTCTTTCATCTGACACTCCTAGAGGCTAGAAGTAACCAGTAAAGATGGTTAACTATTCATTCCCATCCTTCACCCTAAAATAAACTTTGAATTTGACGTCAAAAGCAACAAAATTTATCTGTAGGTAGATTTCCTAAACCTGCCCCACACAAAATTATGCTTTTGCTCCTCATCATTACTTGGAACTAATTTTCAGTCAAGCTCATTCTTAAGAACTTTAACTAGCATAGTCAGCTAGCACTGAATTCATGGTCATCACAGGTGGAGGCCATAGCAAAACATAGTGAAGCCAAGAAACTAAATCATACAGAGGATAAAGATTGAATAGGCTTACAGGAATTTCTTCAAAGATATCCACCCATGACAAGTTTTTCTCCCTCAACCTATTGGAAAAAACAAGATAATCTACATATGATCACATAAAACGTATAATTCGATAAATATCATTGCAGAAACAATACTACATACTTCTCTCCCGTGAAATTTTGGGTCCGGAAAAGCTCCATGAAAGAATCAGACAACTTCAAAGCCTTGAGAGCCAACACACCTTGATGGGACCTTGATGGGTCATATATAATGCATACACACCTCCGAATATTCTCCTACAATATGCAGAGCTTTTTGTAAGGGTAAATAAAAAATAAAATAAAATAAATAAAAGACTTTAATTGACAGATGAATTAGGAAGAGAGCTTGGGAAAAGACCTCAGAAAAATATTATTAAGGACTACAGAATAAACAATACGTCAAACCCATGGATTTGAATTGTTGGCACATTCTAGGTGCAATCCATCATCAATGGACTAATGAAGATCATGTTAATTTAACATTTAGTATGAAAGGGAAAAACTGGTATTTTAACGTGATGGTATCTCTGCACACTTTGAAAAATTCTCCTCCACAATGTTTGTAAGTTACTAAAGAAATCTCTGCAATATTTTGCTTTTTACACAGTACAAGGACATTTTGCTTTTCGTTGCAAATAATCTATGAAAAATGTACCATATGTATGCATCTACAATGTCAATTGTTCTGGCTGAAGGGGACAGGAGGGGCACGATAGGCAAACAGAAAGTGGAAAGCATGAAACATGGGTGATACAAGTGCAGTCAAAGGGATAAAAAGCAGGGAGTGACTTATATTGCCTTAGGCAATAAGGAGACGCAGAGGATAAAAATCACCTTACATAGTCTGAGGTGAGGTAACTTCAATCAGGGAGTGCCTTCTATTGCCTTAGCAGGTACCAAATAAGGCTATAGCCAATATAGCCTTAGTAAATACATGTATTCTCGATTTGAATTATAATTTCAGATGATAGGCTGATAATTTGGTTAAAGCTTACCCTAAGTTTATGAGTTTTATGATTTAAGCTAACTAGTTTAATGAATATATAATTCATAAGGTGAGTGCTTCTTAGGTGCATTACAAGGGTCCAGCACCTTGGGGTTTGCCTTTTGACTACAATGTGTGGTACTGAAATAGTGCCATACAACAGATATCCCCATCACAAGAAGATAGAATTGTAACAAGTAACACCTTAAAACCAGTACCTGGTAATTCATAAAGGTCTCAATCAACTCAACTGTCTGAAACGAACCTAATATCGTTGATTGGTACCTGCAATACACAAAAGAAATGGTTGAGTGCATGAAAGAAAAGATTCAACGGTCAAAGCTTCAACAGCGTGTCCTTAGCTAATATTTTTAAGGACCAGAGTGAGAAAAATATGCAAAACTGATAATTTCCAATTGATGAACACAGAGGGCCAAGCCAACCAGTCCCAAAATCAACATCAACAGACTGCAAGTTAACTTGATACCAACATTGGTTATTTACAATACAATAATTATTGAAACAAAATGGACAAGCACAATCAACAACACAGTTTTCATTCCTAGAGAATCAACTATGGAAGAATTGTTGAATACAGCATACCATCCAACAGTGTTATTGTCAACATTAACCTCTCTCAAACATCTCATCATTTCAAGCTGATAATTAGCACCATCAGCTTCAACCTCCTCATCTTCCTCACGGATCTGAGAAAGAAACAAAACAAAGATTACTCAAGGAATACACAGAATTCGAACAACCAAACTCAAAGCCCCCATCATACCGGGAAAGGAAAACAGTTGGTAACTTCAAGGACGCTACCAACATCTAAGCCAAGAAGTTGGCCGGTGACGAGCGCGGGTGCAAAATCCTTACAGTGTTTGATTATTTTCAATATGACCTGTTCGTTTGTACAAGGAAATTTCATAAATAAATAAAAGGCAAGAAGAAGGATAAAAATAAATAAATAAATAAATAAAATACATAAATCAAAACAACTATCAGATGCTGAGAGGCAAACTATTTACGAATCCCAGACCTAAAGAATACTCTTTCAATCAGCCGAAAAACATACTTCCAGCATTCAAAACAGATAAGAGGAATCAGAAGTATACCAGTCCTTCGATCTGAACGACACGGAGAGGAGAAGCCACCTCCTCCGTCGATGCCACCTGAAGGAATGACCGTGCCATCGCGTTTGCCATGTTTGGGATGCTGTGCGAGAAACCCTAGTCTTACTGATGTCGCCGGCGCCAGGAACTGCTTGCTTTATATTTATAGTATATATAGTCCATATTGGTGCTAATGACGAAATAACATACCAAACCTTCAAAAGCCCCTCCAAAATAGTCCTATCTTTTTATTTTATTTTATGAATTTTTTAAAATATATCTTCACCTTTAAAACAAAATAAATACACTATTTTATAATAATTAATTTACATAAAACTATAAAAATTAAATTTTATTTTAATATTATTATCACATAAATAATTAATTAATTGTGAAATTGATTAAATAAAATACCAAACCTTCAAAAG